GTCATAGTTTGAATCCCAGACCTGCAGCTTGAAACCACACTGGGTGCATGTGCGTATGTGTGTGCCCAAAACCCAACAGAACACTGGAGAAGGGACTGCTGCATGGCCATCCCCCTTGTGGGGGTGATGCCTCACTTTCTTCCCTCTGTCTCTCTTTGGCAAGCCCATGGGCCCTATGACCAAAAAAAAAAAGAAGAATGACACAAAAAAACAAAATTATCTTACACTGATGAATAGCCATAGACTTATCTTCTGAAAATTTTTAAATGAACGTAATCTAGGTAGGATTACTGAAGAACATTCCTAGTAACTACAAGTAGAAAACATTATATTATTAAAAATTCTTACAAAAATATTTTTTATTTTGGTTTAAGTATTTCACCAAAGCCATAAAACAAGCCAAACAAGAAGCAACAACTACAAAACAAACTTAGACCATGTAGATATGGCCTGAAAAACACAAATTAATGTATCTACGGGACCAGCAGTTAGCATAATGGCTATGTTGCTAGATTCCCATGTAGTCAACCGCGGTTCGAGTCCAGGTCCCGGTGACTTAGACTCATGCTGGGCACATGTGCATGCATGCACAAGATCCCAAGATCCCAAGAGGAGAATAGAGGAGAAGGGATTGTGGTGTGGCCATCCCCCCTGGCGGGGGAGGGAGGGATTTCTTGTTTTCTGTTTCTCTGTCTCTCTCTGTCTTTCTGGCGAGTGCACACGCCCTATGGCAAAAACCTTTCCAAAAAAATTATATATATCTAGTATTGCGAAACAGTGACTATAAGAAATTAACAAGTGTCTTGGCTCAGTACCAGTAGAGCACTAGGTTATGAGCTCATGAAGAAAGAACTGAGTACTGTATGTAAACCTGAAATCTGGTTTTTGTTTCTGCTTTTACTTCTGTGTAATACAAGTATGAATTTTATTTAATGTGCTAATTTACAAAGGGTCAAATAATCTTGTCCCCAAAAGAGAAACATTTTTGACCACTTTCTTTTTAACTATTTTTAAAAATATTTTTAACAATTTAAACTATTTTTTCATGTGTATTTGTTCATTTACACACATAGATAAGTTTACCTAAAATCTTTGTATTTGTTCCCATAAAAGTATTTAGGTAGAATTGCTAGGATTAAAAAAGAAACAATATTTATTGAGTATCTGAAATGTGCCAGGCACTTTCTTAACTGCTTTCCATAGATGACGTCACTGAATTCTTCTGAAGTGCCGACTCCATGAGGTAAGCATTATTTTTATTAGTATCTCCATTCTACAGAGAGAAAGATGAATGAAGAGAGGTTATGGTCACTGCTCAGAGTCACGAAGCAGAGATCCTAACCCAGGCAGCCTGGCCTTGGAGCCTGCTCCCTTCATCATAAAGTTATCTTCAAGAAACTTCCAAGTATACATAACTAATGGCTATAGTCTAATCTTTCAGTTTTCTTTAATAACATAATCATCCCTAAAACAGTTACTGAGTATTCTTCATGTGCAAGAACTGAGCTACGGCAGGCACCCAGAAGACCTCCACACAGTTGATAAGGGCAGATGGCAGGACTGACTTGGAGGCCCAGCTCTACCTTCCCTGGCTGTGTGAAGCTATGCAGAGTTTCTATAAAAGAGCAAGGATTAATGAAAGAATTAATTTAGCACAGGATGGCACCTGCATATTATTATCGTTATTCTTACTAGTTAGTCCTCATTCTAGAAGCTGGGGTAGAAAGATAGGAAACCATGCAAATGATTACAAGAAAGTTCTATAAAGGAAGATTGTTCAAATCGTATTAGGACCTTGAAGGAGGGATGAGTTAAGTACAGAAAAGAATAATAAGTACACAGTAATTTAAGTGAGGAGGGGTTCTAATTAAAGCCAAGTCCTAGGCCCCATGTTTTGTAAGTTTATTTTGTATTCTGTGCTTAATGCAAATGCAGATGTTTCATCATTTACAGATTAGATAAATAACATTTATTGAGTACCTTTTATGTGCCAGGAACTGCGACAGGATATTCCCATATACTACCTATCATTTAACGCTCATATCACTCTGAAGTGTTGACATGTCAATTGGTTTCAGTTAGAACTTAGTGTTTTTCCACAATTGCTATCAGAAAGAGAATGGTGGTCTACCTGCAGTGATCTACAGTCCCACACAGGTCCTTGTATTTGTGCCACAAATATGTAAATATGTATGGCACTGCAAGTGACAGAATAAAAAGGACCACTTAGTATATCCCAAATTTATAAAAACTCACAGTAAACACTTTATATTTAATAAAGCACAGATCATATGTGTCATTTTTTCATGGTTTCTAATGCCAGCTTTTCTCCTGTGCTCCCCGTGTCTAATGGACACGTTGAAGTTACTAAACTCCCTTTTCTTTTCCATCCAAAACTGAACACCTACTTCCGCTTTTGCTCATCTATCTCAGTTAAAATCATAAGTTCTAGCTGGTAAACAATCTAGTTTTCCAAGATGGAAACATGGAGTTTACTTTCCATTCAGTCACCAGCTCTCCTAGATAGTCCTCATCTCTCCTCTTCAGGTGCACTGCTCTTGTTCAGACTGCACCCCCCTCCCCTCACATCCCATATCTCTTGCCTGGTAGACTGTAATTACCTTCCTCTCCATTCTCTATCACCTACCATGCTCTTCCAGTTGCTATTATAAAACATAGGTAGTATTACTTCTCTAGTTGAAACTTGCCATGGCTCCCTAGTGCCCACAAGATAGACTGAAGGCCTTGGCATGGTACACTAGGGCTTTCATTCCCTGCTTTTACCAACACCAGCCAGACAGCTGTTCTAGCAACAGTGGATCACTCATTTAGTCATATCACTCTGAATCTGACCTGCCAATGCTGGGGACTTCTTAGAGCCCATTTTCAAAGACGTAATTCCCACCTGCTTCTATTTTCTCTGGCCTGTATTACAGAATAAGTCCAGTAAGTCTATTATCTATTTTCTGTTTTCTCCTCTGGACTTCCACCAACTTGTAAAAAGCTCATGGCTAATAAATAATAGAAAACTAGAAGGTCAGCTAAATTGAGATGACTTAGCATTGATGGTCCCATCACTGACAGCAGTCAGTTTGCTCTTGCCTGCTAGGGACAGCACAGCCTAGACAGCGAGCATTATCCATCCATAGCACTTCCTCATCCACGCTGAGACTCACTGCCATGTTTTCTAGGTGCAAGCTACGTCCCTGCTGAAAGGATGAATCAAGGGGTATATCAAGCTGTATAACATAAAGATATGCATGTAAGTATGTAAAGACCTGTACTGATAATTTTGCTTCTCTTTGGAAGCATCTTATTCTTCAGAGATAATCAGAACCTAACTGGGTTTTCATGAACTATTCTGAATTTTTATCAAATTTAACAGCTCTTGTTAACAAAAGTAACCATGAATAAGAAGTAAACTATTTCATTTTATTTGTATAGCATATACAAATAAAATGGTAAGATATTGGCCAAGATAATAAAAATTCTATTCTATTCCATTTAACTAAAGCACATAGGCCTTTATCAAATATTTCTCACTTTATCTCTAAAGTACATTTGGAGCTTTACAATTTCAAAAAGGAGAATTTAAGTCATTAGCATTTGATTGACTCATTTGGGAGATTATTTACATACCTCAAATTATTGTTCTTTATATATCAATGTCTCTCAGAAAAGAATGCTTAGACAATTTAAGGAAAATATAAAGGTAAGATTAAAAACTACTTAAAATTGAATATACTCTGAGTTGTAAAGTAAAATTTACATTTGTTTCCTAATCTGTGATGTATCTGAGGTTTGATCTGGAGCCTTATTTGCAAGAACAATGTGATTTATAATCAAATGAGCTGATGGCTCAAGGTAGAATATTAACATCATTAATAATTTTTTTAAATAAATGTTTAATCTAGAACTTAACAATTGTATTGTGTATCCATAGACTTTTAAAAAATACTCCTTTAATACTAAAGATTGGGTAAAAGTTAAAATGGTCTTTCTAGTCTAAAAGAAGTCCCAAGATGATTATTTTTGTCACCTCCCTTTACTAAAGCCCAGTGTGGGTATATACTTGAAAACTCTCTCTACAATTGGAAAGTGAACATTAAAAAAAAAAAAAATAGCAATCTGTTTCTTATTTAAAGTTTAAAAGGTAGGACCAAACTCTAATCCCATACAGGCCTGTGGGAGTTCTCAGCAGGATTCTCATCCTATGCAATCTGATAATAATAGATCACTCATTCTTATTTATTTTAAGAACTCTCCTAACGTGTTGGGGTTCACAAGATAAATGTACTTAGATAAAGATATTGTAAATAGAGCATGCAATTGCAAATATAGCACATTATTAAAGAAATTCATTTACGATCCTATGAGTATAAAATAGAGTAAGTCGGATGGCCATCTCCCAAGTAACCCACCAGCCTAGATGGCAACAACACTCTGGCTATGATATTAAATTAGAAAAACCTTTGCAGAGCATTAACCTATCATTACACAGAGTAAACGGCATGGCACTACCACCTAATTAGCAGTGTAGCTTGCATCTATAAAACAGAATTAGCACTACTGCTCCTTTTTTATTATTAGTTTGTGTTTCCAGAAAGGTGTGACCTTATCTGTATGGTTCTGTTCATTTATGCCCATCTAAAAAGGATTTAATTATGTTCTTTCAGTTCTCTACACTGAGGAAATTGAAAACTGCCACTTCAAAATTAAAAATGTTAAAGAAATTGGTGAGCAGATTATTTACACCATCCTTCTTCTTTCAGAGATAAAGAATGGAAGTATGCTGAAGTAAGTAAGGCATATATTTTTCAGAAAAGAAAATTCTAGGCAAGGAAATCACTACCAGTCTTCCTTTCCTTCTTCCTGCAAGTATTCTGCAGGTTCCTCTAGCTGTCTCGGGAAGAACTAGTCAAACGGAAAAAATATTAAAACTATAAAATTCCTGAAAGTCGTATCATGTCAGAGTCAGCAGCCAGAAAATATCCACTTACATCTGACGCAGGCGATTCAAGAACAATGCCAAATCCTAGGACGGGGCTCCCCTCAGTGGAGGTGTGTTCAGCTGCTTGGAGACCAGACTGCTCAGAGGCCACTGCTGTCTTCTTCTCAGTTTCTAACACACTGGGCTTCTGTTTCACAGTAAGAGGTTCAATAGTCTTTGGGGGTACTTTTTTCTTTTTATTTCTCTTGCGGGAGACAGCAGTTCGCTGGGAGCATATAAGGGAAATTGGGGGTTGTTGTCTGTTTTGAGTTCCAACTGTGAACAATAAACAAAAACATGGCACAGGCACTCGTGTCTAACTTGGGAAAATTTATCCTCAGTCTATCCACTTAATCTACAAACCGAAACTGAAATGAGGCTCACTCAAGCGTGAAGCACACCAAGATAAACCTCACACTGGACCTTAACGATACCAAATGCAGGCCCTGGAGCACTTTCAAGTCCTAACGGTAGCAAAATATGCAGGAGAAAATCTTGCTCCAAATGCTGGTGAATCATTAGAGCACCCAGTGGAAGGAAAGGACTATGAGCTATGAGAAAACAATGGAACATGACTTTATCAATAACATGACATTTCCCAATAAATGAGAAATCTAGAACTTAAATGATCTCAGAAATAGTCTATCATCTGGGGCTAAATGGATCAGTTGCTAATAATCTCCTGGTGCAAAAATGGACGAAGATGAAACAATGATGCTCATGTGGGCGAGAATGATCAGAACCGTTTGGAATGATCGTATGATAAGGACCAGTAAGCATGTGGGAAAAGCCTGTCAATCATGTAATCAGGCCCCATCATCTCCTGCTCTCCAAATGTTCTCCACACGCCAACTATGTCCAGGGCATCATGTATTACATACTTTCAGATCAGGTCACTCCTCTAGACCTCAGTTTTATATAGCTGAAAACTAGGAATAATATAGTTCTATACAAGGTCAAGCAAATTAGTAAAATCTAGGAACAGTTTGAGTTCCAGAGGTGAAAAGCACAGTACACGGACCAAGCACTCATACTGAATGCACATTTAAAGAAATCCAAGGTGGTGAGTAGTTTTCACAGGTGCGCTCTGATGGACAGTGTAACTGGAAAACATGACAGTATTACTTAAATCCTCATGTATTAATACGACTTCCTAAATAGGACCACAGGCTATGCCTTTTTGCCTTTTTTTAAAAACAGAAATAATCCTATAAATATAAGCCAAGGAAAACTTAAAGATCACTAAACACACACAAACATAGGTCACTTTCTCTTCTTTATTGCCATCGGTCTGAAAAAAATCAAGAATATTTACACTTTGATCCTGAGGTTTTTATCTCTGACTGGAATGCAATATCTAGAGATTAGAAACCAACTACTGGTCCTATGTAAGAGTACAGGAAGGAGTTTTAACCGCTCATGCACTAATTAGTTCAGCTTACTGGTTCCTGACCTTGACTGCACATCAGAATTAGCCCTACCCTAGACTAAGACAGTCAGAATCTCCAGGGGTGGGAGCCAGGCATGGGTGTGGTGCAAGTTCCTCCAATGACTCTAATGTGCAGCCGCAGTTGGGAACGCATCTCTGTTCTAGCTACTTTTCACTCTAGTCTTGCTTTCTCACTTTCTTTCTCTCTCTTTCTCTCTCTCACTCTGTCCCTCTCTGGTCAAGTTAAAATGAATAAATAATTTTTTAAAAAGATATATAGGTTGCAAACCTCTCTCAGCTTCATGAGTCTAAATTAAATGTAAAAATGTTTTGATTTAAAGCATACTGGAACTATCTGATTTCTTCTCCTTTTGGAAATCTAGGACATAGCCCAAAGTCTCTGGTATTCAAAGCTTATCACTTGATAGAACTTGTCTTCTCCCTAAAATAAAGGTGAAAACTTTCTAAATATGATTTAAATCCAAATCTTATAGGCAATAAATCTTAAATAAATCTACTCACAAAACACAAATTTTAAGTTTAAGAAAATTAAAGGAAAGTAATTTATTCAGTTTATCCTTTATGCTATCCTACAGCTTTGGAATCACTTACCTCCGTAATCTGCAAAGGTTCAGAAAAGAAAACATGGTGACAAAGTGGCATTTACTTAATAGATTCTAAAAAGGCTTTAGTCTAGGATTTAAATGGTTGCAATTTGTAGTTTGCCATTTCAGTAGTAAGGAGCTTAAGTAACAAAATAAATCATTACAATTTCATATGCATATTTTCTTAAGTGCTAACAAATTCTTCCTCTGAGAAAAGAATCTGTACATAATAAAGTAACCTTTCCTTCTGAGTGCCCTTATTTAGTAGATGTTAACCTTTGCCAGGTTAATAAGAACACAGATTACTGTGATGGAACAAGGTGAGTCAAATGCTTACTGACCTGAGCAAAATGCTTACTTTTTCCCTAGGGAGAAAACCAAATTCAGTACTTAAAAAGATGTTGCTTTGCAGAAAATCTTTTTAGCTTTTTAATGGGATCTTAGGCGACTCATATGTGTAAGTATTAAGTTTTTAATATTAAATCCGTATCACTGAATATTAAAATTTTACTAGAATTCACTAACTGGCACCAGGAATGGTTTCTGAACACTGACCTTCCTGAATATCAGTAAAATGAAAGGGTAGAAATGCCAGTCATGATAAGGTGTGCTATTTTCCTGTAAGTAAGCAGTTTCCTCTGGAAAAGGGGGGTGCGGGGGGCTTAACAACATGATCTACTATTTCCTGTACCTGTGACCAAAATTTTGTTTTTATTTCCCACTTATGGAGATAAGTGGAAAACTTTGCCACTACAATCAACACTGAGACTTCCAGCCTTCTGTGAAATGCTCCATTAGCTTTAAAGTCACACCACTGAAACACCTGATGCTTCGATCCCGCCTTCAAAGTTCATTTCTATTTACTATCTCATTGTATCTTGAAAACAATCTCGGAAGATAGACACTCCATTTACAGGTTGGAGAATGGAGGTTCAGGAACGGGAGAAACCGGGTATCAATCCTGAACTACGCAGCATCTGCTCTTCGGTTCCACAATTTGCCTCACTGTAGTGAAACAAAAAGAGGAGTGACACAACCAGAGGAGGCAGATATTGGGGTCTCTGAGCTACTAGACCCTGAGTGTGAGAGAACAAAGCCACAAGCAGAGCCAGAGATTTAAATTTTCTCATTGCTGACGGACACCCTTGAACTTCTTCAACAGTGAAGCCCACATTCCCTAAAGGGCTCCTCCACATAGAATGATTCTAAAATTTAATTAACTGAGATTGTGAAGTACCAGGAGATCATGGGATGAAGTATTCTGAGTACAGGTACATAAGTATATGAGTAGTATTCATAGCAATAAAAAATTTATTTGATTTGCTAAAGGAAAAATGGGTTGCAAAAAAGCTGAGAAAATGGATACTTGAAAAGGCACAGCAGGACAGCAAGGTGGGAAGGACTCTTGAATAAAACGTACAATGAACATCCCCACTGAAGATGTCAGATATGCATTAAAAATCAAAGGACTTGTTCTGAGGCCTGATTCTTGTACCTGCTTGAATTTGCATTAATTTCCTCATGGTCTTGAGTTCTTGGAGAATGGCCTGCAACGTTGACTGGCAGTTACAAGTACAGCAGTTTGATCCAGCTGACGAATTCACCACTGGAAGTTCCCCTAAGCATGAAAAGAAGAATGACATACTCAAAACAACAAAAAGAAATTATAAGGAATAAAATAAGAAGGCATCTTGACAAGATTTCGAAGCATGTGCAATTATTATAAAACTGTACCTATGGCAAGTTCACCCAATAATTTTCACAATCTAAATTTGGGGGCCTGACATTATCTAATTATCCAGCTTGTCTATTGTGAGGTGCGTGCTGTGTGGTGGGTGGCGGAGCCAGAGTGAACACACCACACAATGAGCTGGCACGGCAGGCCTCCCCATTGTCGGACCTGTTCTCATATAACAATACGGTAAGAATTCACTATAGACACACTTGTGCTAGTTTGCACAAAAAAACAGCTCTTAGAGCAGTCTTACGAAAAATCCATAGTTGCATACAAGAGTTCATATTAAGAATTAAAAGTGGTTAAGACGCTGGGCTCCCACATGGCCAACCACGGTTCAAGTTCCCGGACCTGGCCATTTGCTTTCTTGCTGTCTCTCTCTCTGGTGAGAGCATGTGCCCTCTAACAAAATTAGTAATAATAATAATAATAATAAATTTTAAAAAGAATGAAAGAGTCTGGGGCTGGCAGGTGGTATGGTGGTTAAGGGAGATGGACTCCCACATGATCAACCATGGTTCAAGTCCTAAACTTTGTGGCTTGCTTTCTTGGTTTCCATCCTCTCACTCTGTCCCACTCTGGTCAAATTAAAATAAATAAATTAATATATTTAATTAAATAATAATTTGGAAAAAAAGAATTAAGGCGTCTAATTATTAAAACATAGTTTTAATTTTTTTTTTTTTTTTGGAGAGATTTTCGCTATAGGGCACGTGCGCTCGCCAGACAGACAGAGAGAGACATAGAGACAGAAAGCGAGAAATCACCCTCCAGGGGGGGATGGTCACACCGCAATCCCTTCTCCTCCATTCTCCCCTCGGGATCTTGGGCACGCATGCACACGTGCCCGGCGTGAGTTTTAAGCCACCGGGTCCAGGACGCAAACTGCAGTCGACTACGTGGGAGTCCAGCGACATAGCCATTACGCTAACTGCTGGTTCCCAGCATAGTTTTAATATTAAGCATGTTATTTCAAAAATGAAGAACCATGAACACATGAAAACTCTGAGAATACTCTCTGGCTATGGTTGGAAAAGGAGAAAGCTTTGGGGGATATATTTCAGTTTGATGGGTCGGAATGGTACATAAACTGGCTTTTTTCTAACCTACTAAAGAATAGCCAGGCCTGGTTTCAGTGGTGCATTCTGTTAAGATGCTGTGCTCCACAGGCAGGTGCCACACGGGAGGCCCACACTGATTCTCCATCCAACCTAAAGGCCTGTGCACCAGGCCTGTTCGGTAGTGTGCACCTGTAATTCCAACACCTTGGGAGACTGAGGCAGGAGGATCACAACGTAGTGAGATCTTGTCTTAAAAAAAATAGTGTGTACATATATAAATAATATATATGTGTGTCTATAGAAATAAATATATATTTAATATAAATGTGTGTATACATATATATAATATATATAAGTTATTTAAAAGGCTATCCTCCATCTCTTATCCATTCCCATTTCTTATTTTCCCTCATCATAGTCTCTTTTTCATTGTTTAAATGTAATATATTTCCTTTAATAAAACTATTCTAGTATTCTCCTATTGTTTGCCCATGTATTGGGTTGTCAGAAAAGGCATGATGTATTTTTTTCTATGCAAAAAGGGTACCATGGCTTTTCTGACAACCCAATATTAATTAAACAAATATCTTCCTATTAACCTTAAAATAAAACACCATGTTTGGAGAACTGCTCTAGAGGGCCTCCCTCCACCATCAGTGCTTGCCTAATACCGTAAAATGGGGGATTAAGAGCCTGGGAGCACCTACGCCTTCTCACAGGTGGACGAGGTGAGTTCTAAGGTTGTCCCCCCAGTTACACGTTTCACCACACTTAAATGTAACTTAAACCCTGCTGTATGCATTATTTGTGGATACTGTAGGAAAGTTCATCAGACCAAAATCATGAAATACTTCAAGGTAGCTTAACGTTTCCAGTAGAGGCACAATTATTTACATTAAAGTTGTAGCAACCGAGATGTTATAACTTTAAACTTGCAAATAACTCCAGTGAAGTACCAAAGTAGTCACAATCATCAATAGTGCATCTCTATTGAAACTATGTAAGCAATATATATAAAAAGATCTGTTTTCAAAGGATATGTAAAAATTTATGTTTGGAACTTTTATTAATATCAATAACCTTTTCCAAGGTAAATCCACCACCTCTAATGTGTCCTGGAAAACTTGTTTACTTAAAACTAAATGATGTGGGGTCCACTATTTTCATAGATCTCTACTCCATTCATATCATCTCTTCCACGGCAGTAGAGTTAGGAGAGCCTTAAAGGCTATTGCTTGTCACTATTCTAAGTACTATTTTTATCATTTGTAGAGGACAAAACCAACCCTTTCCAACTCATTATAAATCATTTTCTAATTTTAAAGAGGACTGGCTTTTTATTCATACAGAGGAGTTCTTAAAAAGCCATCTCCTTCTAACCTGGAAGCACGCCAGCATGGAACCTGACACTGGCTTATGTAATATTGAGAGGAAGAGAAGACAGCCACACTGTGCTGGGGGTCCCTGGCTGTCTCAGGGTTGTTTTTCATGCCTCTGAACTGGTTAGTGTGAACTGTGTTAAAAAAGAAAATCAAAATAGTTTTCTTCTTGAAGGATATTATTAAAAGAAAATAAATTTTAAAAAATCCTTAACTTTCTAAGGAAGTTGAAAATGCCTTATTCTTCCTTGTTCTCCTTGTGAAAACGGTAGGTCCTGCATATGTATATATATATTTTATAGAAAAAAATTAATGTCACTGGATGGAAAAATAATATAACCAGAAAAAAACATCATTTTTTTTTCCTTTAAGCTTTGTGAAAAAAAAAAACCTGTCATTTGATTTTTTTTGAATTATAAATTAGGACATTTTAATTAAAGAACTTCCATATTAAAGGGATATTTTTCAAGGATAGTGAAGCCTGGAATAGAAGGTTAAAGTCAGGGTGTCCTGTGGGATGTTAGGTTATCAGCTCTCCTTTTAAAAAAGACTCCTTTTATGACGAAGAAAAGTGAAGGGGTAAGCAGGGGGATCTATTAATAATACAGCATATGACTAGGAAGTTTCTTTTCATTATAAAGGGAAGCTCTTTCTGCCCTAATGTCTAGTCTTTTATGACAGTACAATAATGTCTGCATACTGGCAAATGATAGCCTCAACTTCCTCATCTTTCCCGATTTTGAATTTTGTTTTATTATTATACTCTTCTTCAATTTTTTCCTCTATATCTTCTCTGACTTTTAAAACAACTCAGCGAAGGCAAGAGATTAATGGAGGGTTTAATAAACTGAACTCAAAAGAACATGCTGAATATTTAGAAATAAACAAATCAGGACAAACCATGAGTGCATTCTGAATGTCTGGTGACAGCCATACCATTGGTGTTCGCAGCGGTGTGGGGCTGACTCTGGAAGGTTCTAGAACGAGTGCCATATTGCCCTGAGAACTGCCCGCTTTGGGGTGGTAGCTCATTCCATGCACCACGTGAAGGATGGAGGCTCTGGGGGGCCTCTGTAGAGGAGTTCAATCGCTGAGGCCAGACTAAATCCAAATCCTGGGGCTCTTCTTTTAACTTTTCTCCTTCTTTGCCAACACGCTGATATATCCTCCCAGTGCTGTCATTCAATAATCTCCTCATTCCTGTGATTTGTTTTTTAATTTCCATGCTTTCATCTCCTAATGGAAATAGAGCCAGAGTTAGTGCTGTAAATTAGCAAAAGGAAAAAATAGTTCTGCTACCAAAAAAGCAAAGAATCGTTCCTTGGACATAGGAGAGATTACTGATTCCGTAAATGTACGTAATCAATAGAAATTAAGGGCAGGAAAACGAGCTATGGTCTGAGGAAACCAGTGTATTCCTGGAACGTCTTATTTTAATCTTTTCCTGGCTAAGTTCTCTTATGATGAAAGAGGTTTCCCGAGTGTGTGTTATTGGGGACAAGCTGTATATCCCCTCCTTGGAGGCATTTTCTGAGTAGGGGTGTCATAAGGAAATGGGTTAAGACAGAAGACCAAGGATAGGACCGCAGGGAGGAACTTCTCTGCTCTGATCCGAGCTGCTCCATCCACTTGTTATGGACATCAGGCCAGGCAGGTGTCTATTCCTCCATGGTCAGGTGCCAGGCCAAGGAAGAATTCATAGTGCATGGGATTTGCTGGGATGCAGGGGGATTAGAGAACGGGATGTGTGGCACGTCAGCGGCACTGTTAATAAAGGCTATTCTCTTGGGTGACAAACTATTGGTGAAGATACTGCCTTCAGGGTGGTAACACAGGAGACAGCAATGTGCTGAGTGTCAGTGTAGCAAGTGAGGAGGCTTCGTCTTTCTAGGCCCTGACTCACATGACATCAGTCCATGGATGCCAAGGGGTCCCTGCCCTCCCCAGTACTTGCTGTACAAGTACCAGAAAGGCAGACGTACAGGCTTGCCCCTCTGACCTCCCCTCTGACCAAAGCCACACCCTGGGCCAGCCCAGAATCATACCCATTGCCAAGTCCCCCATAGTGCCAACTCTGTAACTACATGTGAAAGCAACAGACTATTTTGGGGCCCAGCAGTTGGTGTAATGGCTATGTTTCTGTACTCCAATGTAGTCTAATGTGGTTTGAGTCCTGGACTTGGTGGCTCAAACTCATGCTGGGCATGTGTGTGTACATGCCCAGGATTCTGAGAGGAGGATGGAGGAGAAGGGATTGTGGCGTGGCCATCCCAAAGGGGGCGATTTCTCGCTTTCTGTCTCTCTCTGTCTTTCTGGTGAGTGCATGTGCCCTGTAACGAAAACTTCTCCAAAAAAAAAAAAAAAAGGAACAATATTTCTAAACACTCACCTACATTGACTTTTTTTTAATTGTAGCCAAAAAAAAAAAATCAATATATAAAACCCACATAACATAAAACTTATCATCTTAGCCATTTTTAAATGTCCAGTTCAGAAGAGTTGAGTACATTCACAATTGTGGGCAGCCAATCTCCAGAATTTTTACATAGACTTCTTTTTAGGATCCTTTTTTGAATTAATTCAATTTTTAAAATATTTTTTATTATTTTATTTAATCTTATTCATTGCAATTATTTTTATTTTATTTCTTTTGAAGTTGACCAGAGAGAGAAGGAAAGTGAGAGGGGAAGCTGTCAGGTCTGGGAATTGAACCACAGTTAGCCCTGTGGGAGTCCAGCCACCCTAATCACCATGCCACCTGCCAGCCCCTAAGTTAATTAACTTTTTAATGAGAGAGAGAGACAGGAGACAGAGAAAGAGACAGACAGACAAGTACCCTTAACAAAGTCTCACACTACATTCCTCCCCAGCCTCCACAGCCAGTCAGGATCATGAGCATCCAAGCATGCATGGCACGTACAGGCGGACCTGGGAATCTAACCCTAATCTCCCAGTGTGTCCAGCACTCCAGAACCGTGTGCAGCTGCTGCACTACCATGGCTGGGCCTCTTTGTGAAAATACTTTTTCCTTCGAGAGATTTTTTTTTTTTTAAACTAAGATATCTCTACTCTGGACTGGAGAATTCAAAAATATTACTCAAAGATGACTACACAATTTGTATAGATATATATGATTAGTCTGGCACTAATATATTAGAGGCAACTGATACTGATTACGAGCTCTTTCAAATATGCTACCTTCTTAACCTATGTAACAGCCAGTATTCTCACAAAGATAAAGTGTTTTTTTTTTTTCTCTAACCTAGGTGTTAAAATAAAATTCTTAGGCCAGGGTACGTATATACACTCATGTAGTCAGTTACTCTATTAAGTGCTTGAAATTTAAACTATGAGAAAAAAAAAAGAAAATATTATTTGCAAGAACATAGTTCCTGCAAATAAATATGGGCATTTATATAATAAATGTTTCGATGCACTAACAAGCCAGATTTCTCTGTGGAACTGGTACTTGCACAATAACCTAGGTATTTTGTGCTATCTCGCACATGCGTATGTGTGCCCCAAAATCTCAGCACAGAGGAGACATGGAAAAAGGATGGCAGTGTGACCATGCCCCACTGGGGGTTACTTTCTCTCTCCTTCTCTCTCTGTCTCTGTGTCTCTCTGGCAAGTGCACATGCTTTCTGGAAAATTTTTAAAAAACTATTTTTTAAGATTAATTTTATTTAACTTTATTTATTTACTTATTTTTACATTTTGACTAGAGAGGGACAGCATGAGAGCGAGAGCGAGAGCACGTGCGCACGAGAGAGAGAGAGAAAAAGTGAGAAAGCAAGCCGCCAGGTCCGGGACTCAAACCACGGTCAGCCATGTGGGATTCCAGAGCCCTTAACCACCATGCCACCTGCTGGTTCCCCCTCTCCAATTTTTTTTTTTAATAAGAAATCTTAGTATAATGGATTCATGCCATGTGGCTAACTTATTGGTAAAACCACCTTAACGGAAAGTTTAGTAACTAAACTCCCTGGACAAGGTCTATAAAAGATTGCAGGCTGAACTCTACCTCTCATGAAATTTCAAGACACTACTGCAGTCTTTTCTTTATATAAAGAAAGTATGCATGATGTAATAAGTATGAGGGCAACTCAGAAGTTTCCATATAGAGACTCACTTGGCCAGCAGTGGGGATACTATACAGAATACGATTATTCAGAGATCATCGTGACAGAATTAACAAGATAACACACAGGGGACCAGCAGGTGGCGTGCTGGTTAAGGTGCTGGACATTCCCACATGGCTGACCATGGATTGAGTCCCGGACCTGGCAGCTTGCTTTCTCGATCTTTCTCTCTCTCTGTCTCTCTCTGGTCAAAATAAAATAATAAATGAATGAAAAAATAAATAATTATTATTAAAAAAAAGATAACACAGACACACAGGAGTAGGCTGTACCTAGTCCTCATAGTCCTATCTATATGTGCCTTCTTATAAAAACACACACCAAGAACAGTTACCATATTTTTAAACCTACAAATGAACTAGTGTTTATGTATAGGAGGCATCCCATACACTTTTTTAAAGTAATTGAAATAAATGGCTTATCAGAAATATAATGAAGTCCAGGGGAATTAAAGGTAACGTTAAGGCAGTAAACAAACTATATTAATAGAAAGAGTGAAAAAACACCAGAAACAAATTACTTAATAAGCATTTATCAAGCACCTCATAGGCACCAAAGAAATGAGTATCATCAGGGACTAACTGAAAGATGCCCCTCCCCTCCAAATCTCAACATCTTTCACTCAAGTCCTTTTACACTGATTTGTTGCTCTGAAAACAAGTCAGTTGTGGTTCTGATTTCCCTCAGCCTACTGACCCCTACCTCTTTTCATCATGTCCTGGAACTCCAGTCAGCTGCTGACCTCCTACTTGCAATGGTACTTCCTGCTCCCTGGAGAGAGCTAAAATCTAGTTCTTCCCTGGGGATCCTACATTTCTCTGCAGCCTACATAAAAGTTAACTCATTCTCCCTTCTTCAGGGGGCTGGATGGGGTAGATCTGGCTTTCTTCTGGCTCCCCAAAATATCACTTATGCCACCTCAGGAAGAAGCTCACAGAGCTGAACCACCTCCCACTCCTCTTCCCGAGTGGCCCAAGTTCTGTGTGCCTTTGTACAAATGGAAGATTCACAGGAAACGAGTCAGGCAATGAAGTTAGCAAGTACAGTGAGGCCATCCCACTAAGGGCCTTATGTGTCAGGTTGAAAGAGAAGTTTACACCGAAGACAATGGATTATTGTGCTTGATCATTTTAAATGATCTCGTTTAATCTAAGGATAGGTGTGTCCTACAGAAAAATAATCCTGGCCAGTCTATGGGGAAACTGGTATGGATGGAGAACACCAGTTAGAAAAGAAGTGCTAAAAACTAGGTGAAGGACGACGGTTTGTATCAGTAGTTGAGGGGTGGGAATGGCGAGCGAAGATGGAGAGAAATGTAATCGAGGGGCAGGATGAGGGTGTGGCAGTGAACGTGGTGCTCTGCAAGGCTGACCCACATGGGAAGGTGCCCAGTCTGCATTCAGAAACGTCCCTGAGTATGCGGGCACACGTGTGCCTATGATCTGGACTGGCTGAGGCTGGGGGTGAGTTGTACTGTCAGGACCCTACTGGGGGTGCTCTCTGTCTTTATCTCCCAAGGAAGAAACAAAAAGAAGTGTGATCAAATGGGCTTAGTGATGAATAGGATGTGAGAACAGAGCGAGTGAAGGAGACTTCCAGCCTGGGTGAATAAAGGGATACTAACATCAGCCAGAGAATTAAAAAAATAAGGCTCCAGGAGAGTTGGAATATGGTGGGTGAAGAAAATGCACCTAGTCTGGATGAAGAAAATTTAGATAAGAAGGCAAGTGGAAATGTAGCTGTGTTTACGTACAGTAGGTGACAAAGCAGAACCCAGAACTACTCTGTTAGTAGGCTGGTCCCTCTAGACCCAGTAAGTCCCTCAGGGTCACCAGCAAATTAGAGGGAAGAGGACACCCTATAGGGAGATACCAGATCTATTAATTGGGCATAGAGAAAGCATGAAATGTTCAATTAAATATTAAAAGAAATATTACCTCATTTACTTTCAAGCTGGTTAAAGCAAGTCAAGCCTATCTCTTCCTGAATCCTTCCCGATCCTGAGGCAAGCAACAATCACCTTGGTCAGAAGGGACAGCTTACTCTCCCAGTGCAATATCAAATCCATTGCCCAGAGGGGCTGTGCTTGGTAAC